ATCATTCTCGCGACAATTAGCATCATCACCATCACCATCATCATTCATTCTCATCCTCTCCACCATCATCACCATCACAACCATCAACATCATCAACATCATCACCACCACCACCACCACCATCAGGATCATTCTCACCACTATTATCATCATCACCATTACCAATACCATTACCATCATCCTCATCCTCTCCACCATCATCACCATYACAACCATTACCATCATCGATGACTGTGGAGGTGGCAGCGGCGATGACAACAGTTTGAGACACTGATAGAACAATTTCAACCAAGTTTTTATTTTACAAACCTGTCGCCATCTATCCAGCAAAGTTTCAAGATAACCCAAAGATGTTAGATAACTAAAGCCTCGCTCTACTGACACAAATCTATGAATAGAAAAAAAATCAAAATTAACGCATCCAGCAACAAAATGAACGATCCTTTTATCCATCTATTTCTTTTTTTCCTTCCTCTTTTTTCTACTCCCTTTTACTGTTTTATAATTCCATTTTCTCTTTTTCATTTTTTCATACTTTCCCTTCTTTCCTTCCTCCATCCCTTTTCTTTCCTCTAACTCCCTTCCCTTTCTTCCATTTTTCTTTACTTGCCACTCTCCTTCCTTCAATTTTATTTTCCTTCCTTTCCCCTTCCCTTTTTTTACTTCTACAATTCCCTCCCATCCTATTTTACCCTTCCTTCCAGTCCATAGCGAAGTGAATGATAATGAGTATCAATACCTTGTGAGGAGGCGAATACCTCTATCTCCCAAATGTAAGAGAACAGGACGAAGTTGCACAAGATACTGGAGATTAGCCTTTGGATACAAAATAAAGGCTGTAAACATGTTATCCTTTCATTACTAATCCTTCAATTTACAGAAAAGAGAGGAGTGAGGTAACTGGAAGCTGGATGGCGGAATATGATGATTGGAGTCATTCAGTATTTTCTAGCCTTTTCTAGCCTTTCTAGTCTTCACTCTATCGGCAAAAACAGCTGGCTCAACAAAATATCCACCCTTATCCACCCTAAAATGTCTAACAAGATCTATATATCGATGTTAGAATAAAACAGAGATTCTTTAACACTTGACCTCATTTATTCCTGTCTTGTGTGGAATGTTCATCAGCTGAATCACAAGTCGTCAATAGAATTCTTTCTTCACATGGTGGTCAGTGTTTGAACAGATTTAATGAATTAAAAAACTTTTATCAGCTGATTGGAATCAAGTGAAAGATAGTTTAATCTACAGTTATGAATACCTCGTCTTCACAAGCTTCATCCAGCACATCGGCAGCCTCACTCGCTACACGAGGATCTGTGTCATACAGCTACAAAATGACACAAGAAGAAAATCATATCATGGTGTATTGTTATTTCTCTACTAAAACAATTAGACTTCTTGCCCTCATGCTCTACAAGTCAATAGCTGGGCCTTTGGCCTTTAGCCTCATGGGCTATTGACTCTTAGACCATGAGACCAAGTAGTGTTAAATATTTTCCTACAATCTATTATAATTACAATCCTATACATATATACACACAAAAATGAAAAGAGGAAGGGCAAAAACTATCGAATATAACAAGGAACATTTCATGAACTCAATTTTTAACACTTACTTGAGTGACAAGGAATTCCATACCCCAGTTATTGAAGAAAGCAATTTTAGACCTTAATAAGACTCGCATATGGCTGGTAGCATATAACCTTGAGTGCTACAAACAGAAACATAGATTTACCAGGTCAATTAAAAGCAAAGCAATCTTACTTGCATTGGTCACATAATTAGGAAAATGGCTGTAAAAATTCTAATTGAAATGGAACCATCATTTTGCATGATAAATGGATGTATATCACTAAAAATATTGTTAAAAAGATTCTTACAAAATTTGAAGCAGTTAGTATCTTAGATAGAATGATCCTGGAGATTCCACTCTCTCTGTAATCCAGGCTTGATACGATTAGCTTGAGAAGATTCTCGTGTGATGAGGAGGAAATGTCAAGGAGACTGAAATGAGAATGAATGAAAATGTTCATATAATGAGCGAACACATCAATTATTACAAGCTGAGTGGATGGATTGAACAGTGGATGGGATGGATGGATGAATGAATGAATGGGATAGATGGGATGGATGGTTAATTGGAATGATGAATGGATGTTGTCAGATGGATAAATAATGTCGGATGGATAATTGGAATGGACACTGTTAGATGGATGGGATGGATAGATGGACGGACGGACGGACAGACGGATGGATGGATGTTGTTGTATGGATGCATGCATGCATGCCTGGATGGTTGGATGGATGGTATATGAGAGTATGGATGGGATTGATTGGTGGTTGTATGACTGGGATGGATGCTTGGTAGTATCAATGGGATGGGATGCATGGGAGGGTTGAAGGGAGGGAAGGAGGGAAGGAGGGAAGGAGGGAAGGAGGGAAGGAGGAAAGGAGGGAAGGACTTACTATTGAAAGATTCCTGTCTTCTCCAGCAGCTTAGAGCCCACCTTTGAGCTTGACAGTTTACCAAGAAACAAGAAATAATCTCTGCTCAAATAAGTATGAAGGTTGTTGTCACTGAGAACACCATTAGACACGTTAGGAGATAAAACCTACAAAATAATATAAAAGATACAGTAATTGTCATCATTATTACTGCTGTCATCCTTGCCAACATTGTCATCATCATTAAATATTATTAACATCAACTGTGATCATCATTATTTACAGGTCATTCACCATCAATCTTTAACATCAGCAATCATTGCTGTTATCATCATCATAATTATTAGTGCTGTCAGAAATCAACACTTCAATTATCCCAATCAATATCTTCATCACAACCATGATTATCAGAGCAGCATCAAAAATCACTATTATCAGTCATCATAATTATCATAATCGTAACATTTTTGTTGTCATCATTATCATGATATTTTAAGTCTATTCCTTGCACCCCAACCAATCAATCAATCAATCAATCAACCAATCAATCAACCAATCAATCAATCAATCAACCAATCAATCAATCAACCAATCAATCAATCAATCAACCAATCAATCAATCAACCAGTCAATCAATCAACCAACTAATCAATCAATCAACTTTATTTATCCATGATAGATGGCTTAGCAAGCTGATTTTCAGACATGTGGTACTAATGATGGTAGTAATGATTCAATGATTCATTCACCAATAATAAACAATAATTGCTATTATTTTACTATTTTGTGAAATATTACCTGTTGTAGACACTCTGCAATTTCCTGCACCAGTTCCTGGAGTATATTAGACCCAACAAGCTGAAAAACAACCATCCATCGAATATCACGGCACTAGGTCATCATAACATATACATTTTAAAAAATCTACTAGCTTTAGCTGTTATATCACAGTGTGGGACAATCACAACARAGCTAGGCTCCAAACTAAGTGAAAGCCCAAAGATCAAATTAGAATTTAGAAGTTGATTTTTGTGGAGGGAGGAAAACCGGACAACCCTGAGAAAAACCCTCAAAGCACAGGAGAGAACCAGCAAACAACTCTACTCACATACAACATCAAGATCGGAAGGACTCGAACTCGGACCGCATTGGTGAGAGGCGGCGCATTAGCAGCGCACACCACCGGTGCTTCCACATAGATAACAGGGATAAATATTATGAAATACAATAATCAAACTATACTAAATGTGTACCATTTAATAGATGAAAAATCGCACAACCTTGTTCTAGAATTCGTAATAAATAGGCACTTGTAACGTTTTGAAATTTCTTAATCAATTTCTCTCATCAAAAGGCTCATGCAATTACAAGAACTTTCAAAACATCACTTATACCTATTCCTAACAAATTATACTCAAGGTCCTGCAAATTCCGATACAAATAAAGGGTACATCACAGCAAGGTTTGGTATACAATGTGGAGGACAGGAGTTCCGCATTTACCATGACATCATCTGGGTCCAGCAGAAAGTCAATCAGTAGAAGCCCAACACGAGAGAAGGCTTTGGATTGAGGGTCTGATAACTTGACCGTACAAAATTGCTGACATGTAGGCTTGAAGAAGTTTAGAAGACTTCGTATGAACTTCTGATTGGAAATTTCTTCTAATCTCTTCAGTGACATGAAAGGAGACTAGAGGAAAATTTAAAAAACGTATATATATATTTAAGATTGGATTTATTTTACAAAAATGTAGCACAACAGAAATTTTAACACCATTGATAAATGAATCATTTTTATGCGAGTTTTTGCAGAACTCACTCATTATCATCGTCATATTCATCACCATTATCATCATCAACAGCATGTCATCACCATCAACATCACCATCATTATCAATAACAACAACAAGTTACCATGATCATTATCATCATCATCATCAACCACTCTATCACCATCATCAACATTCATCATCATCATCATCACCAACATCATCATCATTATGTATCATCATCATGATCAGCATCATCTCATCATCATCATCATTATCATCATCATCAAACAAACCTGCAGTGATGCTTCTATCAGATCCCAGTCCCAGTTCCTAAAGTCCTTCTCCATTGTCACCTATGAGTAAATGAAATGAAATGAGCAATGGTTTTACGACTGTGACAACAGCTGTAAATACAGTACTGACTATAATTAAACATTATCAATATTATCTGGTTTATTACACATTTGCGGTAAACTGGAAATATTTCAGTATGGAATGACATAATGACGCTAAATGTGTAATAAACAAATTAAGAGCCTGATATCTTTTTTATTCACTTGTTCTACATATTTGATTACTTGTTTGGAGACTCGCTCGGTTGTGATAAAATATGGAAACTCATGAATAAAAAAGATATCAAGCTCTCAACATGTGATAATCTCTATATCTTCATCTGACCTGAGAATCTCTGATTGCCACAAGATATGGTTCCTCTAAATCTTGCTACAAATAACCATTAATTTAGTATTAGTCACTGATATTATAAAATAACTATTAATTATAAATCTCACATTCTGATTGGTTGGGAGCTCTAGTGATATGATACTCTAGTGAATGACATGTGGTCTGAAATGGGAAAACATTACACTACTCAAGCTTGGTCTATTATTAATGTAGGTCTATTGATGGGTAAGAGATGTGCACTGTTACCTTGTTGATACACTGTAATAACCTATCTTTTTGTAACTTGTCTAGTTTTATCTTGGGTTCTAGGGCACGAGTCTAAAAAGGAATGCAAGAAACTAATACTGAGTATTTATTGGTCATTATGCAATGATCATGATTCCTTACAAGTGCAAGGATATGGAACAGCAATCTCACAGTCAGAAATATTTAAACAATTAATTCTTCATTTTGTTTGTTCCCTTTTTGGGAATTCTTTGCCATCGTCAGCGAATTCCCCAAAAATGAATAAACGAAATGAACAACACCTGCAAAAACAAGGTACACTTAGTTTTTAAGACATACAATTATTTCTTCATTTTATTTACTAAGAGAGCTCATATCAAACATTTAGGGTCGTATTCCCCTGTGTCTGTTGTCTGCGTGGCAGACACACGAGTTAGCATTGTCCCCGTATCCTTCCTCAGTTTTCCAAAGTTTTTCTTTTTTTACTTGTCTTTTTTTTTCTTTTCTTTTCTTCAAAAATGTTAATGTAGAATTTGTTATAAATCGATGGCCTTTTTCTTTGCAGCTTTTCTGCACAATCCAAATATGGAATTGATCATACCATATATGGAGTAAGCTTTCTCTACTCCAACTTCGACACTAACATATAGAGTAAAGCTTGTGTATGTGTAAGTATACAGCAAAATATACCTGCATAACAATTTGGTCAAGGTACAAACTACAGGGTACTGGTCCTCTTTTCTTCATTTGATGCAGGCGATCTAAACAATTGACGGCAGCACTTGCACGGCTGAAGATCATACAAGAGACAGAAAGTGAATATTAGGAGATACACACAACTATTAGTCTTGTTCTTTTGATCTTTTCCTGCCTTTGATCTTTTCCTGATTCAACACCTCTTTCAATTCACCTTTTCAGTGCTAGCTTGGATTGTGTTACAGTCACCAAAAAGTTTGGACATTGTTCTCAGATTCCCATACAAATTCACTGACTTTAAAGAGGAAATTTAGGTAGATTTCTTTAGTTAGCTCACTCAACAGCAGTAAGAAAAGCTTCAATCAAGCTAGAAAAATGAATTTTTACTTGTATTTAGAGAACTAATTAACATTAACCAAGTAACCGTAACACAATTCAAAACAATTTATTATATGTGACGGCTTGTGCCCAAAAGGTGAATTCCAAAGTCTTTATTTTTAAGAATGAAGTAAAAAATGTACCACCCAAAGAATAGCACTTGTATGAAGTTCTACGAAGTTCATAGCACTCCATAATGACTTGATTATACTAGTAGTTGTAAAGCTTCATGCTTACCCTCTCTCTGCAGCAGAGACTTCAAATGATGTGGCTGTGTTAACAAGGGTTGGTAAACAATGAGAGTGACTACTGCATTCTGGGGGAAGTAAAGTATTGGCCTGAAATTTAAAAAAATCAAAATGTATAGACGGTAGAAAAGTATTGAAAACTAGCAAATCTGGACAGATTTTACCGGTTTCGAATTTAGAGACCCTGGACCATTGTGGGGAGTGGGGGAGGCATGCCTCTATAGCTGTATTCTTCAAATACTGATTCCAGCCCTATGCATCAGTAGGCCAGATTACAATTAATTTCRTGGCATTAAAATTCACTTTTATAACTGATTGAAAATTAGAGTTAAGTTAAGTAAAGTATTAATTAAGTAAAGTTTCTTACCAAATGCAACAGTTCTCCAAGCAATATTGTTGCTCTGACTGAGATGAAGCAGTCTGATGATGTTATCACCTCTACAAGGCTCTATTCAAAAGCAAACATGAGTGTTACATCTAATGTGAAGAATTGGGTACAGTAGTGTAAAAAGTCACACACTCCTTTCTTTCTAGAACCTTCTGTTAATTTCTTTGTTGTTTGTACTTTCTAGAATGTTTTGTTGACAATTGCTAATGTCTTACACCGAATTGAAGTATAGTGACCAATTTGAATAACTATTGTTCTGCACTGACTTGTAACTGACTAGCCTTGCGTTCAAATGGAAACATAAATTAAAATTAATGGAAACATTTACTTAATATTCAAATATCGGCATATTTTGATTTGGCGTATGGGTTCCGCAATTGCTTATGAATCTCGTAACACTAGATTTAGAGAGTTATTATTATTTTTACCTCAAACAGTCCAGCATTCATGAAGGCTGATAATACAAGAGCTGTGTAGTTGTTCACAAGGTTTGTCCTAAAGGACAAAAATGCTCACATAATTGTAACAAATAACATCAATGATAATATACTTAAGTATGTGTATCCCATTCTACCTATATAATATAAAGTCAGCAGTTTCAAAAAAGGTTGAAGAGGCAAACGACAATAGGCAATAAGTGATAGCTGGCAATAGTTGATAACTGTAAGTCATTCCAAGATCGGAGAATAGCTGGAATGATGGTATTTATTATTGTTATTCTTGTCACTAATGCAGACTGAGGTTATTGTTGACAGAGTTAATTATTTTAGTGTTGTTTGTAGTCGACAAATTAACCCATTTAAAACCCCTCAATTATTTATGTTTAGGTGTATGCCCAAAGTTTCTTTTGGTTGTGCAACTGTCAATCACTGATCATCTTTCAATATTTCCACCTTAATAATCAACCTTTAAAAAAATAGCTGTATACATTGTACATTTATGCACAATTTGCAGCATTGTACCAACCTTGCTGTTGCTCTTGTAGCCCTTGGAAGCAGTTCTAGCCCTTCCTGTGCAACGAACCCCTCAGAAAGTTTCCAAGATTCCTTCATTTGTGATGGGTCTTGGATAACATACAAAATGACAAGTTAGACGTCAAGTTAAGAATTTTTAGTGTACAGCAATAGTCCTTAAACTGAAAGTTTGTTTACTCACCAACACTTAACAAAGCGACATTAAAGTCATCCGTCCATTCTGGTTCTTTGATCCTAAAGATCTGTGATATAATATCCATGATTCCTTTCTGTTAAAAAAAAAAGAGGAATATAAAAACAATTGTGAAATGTGTAGTTCCAGAAAATAATCATCCATACCCACCCCACAGAGGAATTGAATGGAATTTCCAAAGAGTAGGGGGGTCAGATAAATACACAGTTTGTATGGAAGAAAATTGGAATTTTCAGGGGGTAGGGGGGTGTATTAAAAAATTCCTCCGTGAGGGGGGTATGGATAATTTTTGGAACTACTCAATAAACTTTTAAGTTGTTTATCTTTTGTTGATATAGAGGCTTTGCACCAACATGTGATGGCAGTCATGACATGAGGCAGGAACAATTGAAACTGGTCTAATGTGATTTACATGAGAAAGAATTAAGTTTCCCTAATTATGTTGTCACTGCTGCTGTTGTCAATAGCCGTACAGTGCAGTTATTGTTGCTACTGTATCTGCTGCCATTGCCATCATCACTGCTGTCATCACTTTTGTTTACTTAATATGGTACCACAATTTTTAATTACACTGGTTACAAGATGTACATACACGAGAAATAAATCTACAGATCTCCATAAATCAAAGTAAAAAAGTTACATACCCTAACATCGGAATTTTGAAGACAAAATACGCCCAACATGGACTGCAAACCTTTACCATCAGGTTTACAGAAGCTGATGATCCCTGTCACAGACACAAAACAGTGATTTAAAAACAATGAATTCAGGAGTAACCCTTTCCCTCCCAAGGTTCCTAGCTCACTCCAGGTACTCACTCCAGGTACCACCAGCCCTCTTGTATTTTCCTCATAAGATGAAAAGGAAATGAGCAGAATACTAAGGCCAGTGGAGTATATTATATTAAGAACTTGACATGTTCCTTCTCATTGCAATAATCCTCAATGACCAGGGATTATAGAGATTATGAATACCAAAGAGGTATGTAATATAATTACATGTATATACACGTCCGGGGTACTGTAGCTCGCGCAACAATTTTTTGAAAATTTTGTGAGAATAGATCAGCAGAAACGGGTAAAGAGGATTTAAGGATGGTGTAGCAGTAATGCACTCGCCTCTCAACTCTGCGGTTTCAGGTTTGTTTTCTGTACCTGACATTATGTGTAGAGTTTCACTAGGTCTAGAGCTTCCTCGATTCAAGTATTTTTCTCTTGGTCCTCTACTTTTCCTCCCTCCACAAAAACCCACTGTCCATCTAAACTTCAATTCAATTTGAGAGGTACATGTAGGCAAGTATGCACTAACTTTTAAATTAGCATATTCTGGAATGGGTTCGATAAACTCGTTAAGCTTATTTCTTTTTTTACCTGACCAAGTTCTGAAAACAGTAATCAGAGCCATCTTACTGGCCAACAGACGGCCATCTTTGTCTTCCCTAAAAAATGTGTACAATTAATATACAAAGTTGTACAAGCTTAAGGTTTTTCATGGATATTTTAAAGCTAGGCTTGAGGATGGCAGGAACAATACAACCACTTATTACATATATGTGAAAAAATTCAATTTCCTAGGCTAGAGTAAAGGATTCTATAGGTGCTGGCATATGATTGTACAAACCCTCAACATTGAATTTTACAACTTAAATCTAAACAAATTCAAATTGCACCAAAGAAATCTTAATTAATATAAAATAATTAATTATTATTAATGATTAAAATACCATTATTAATTATTGTTACTAATTTTTTTTTTTTTTTTTTAATTATTCAAATACCATCAAGACCAAGCTGTCACCACAAGGATTTCCAGCTCAGTGGTTAGAGCATTCAACTAGCAAACACAAGGTCACTGGTTCAAATCCCRCCCGGATCTCAAATTTTTTTTGAAATTTTTTTTCCGAAAAAAATGTTGGATAAAACATAATTTACATTCCTAATTATGAATCCTTCATGAGCTTTTTTAATTTAATTTCTCGACTGAATCTTTAGAAACAAATTCATACTTTAATTGTGATTCTGGGGTGTCTGCGCTGTGTCTGTAATGAAGATCTGTAAATGGAGCCAAGATTGCCTACAATAAATATGGAAAAAGAATTAATTAAATGGTGGCCATTTGAAACATTATGACAGTTACAAGTAAGTATGATCACAAACAAACCTCAAGCCCAACATTTATTGGCACAAAGGGTCTTGTTTTTGCATTATTCACTAAATACAACAGGGTAACCACTAACGACTCGTTCAACCTCGGCATCTGACAATCCAGAACATTCCTTGCAATAGCTTGAATACCACCAGCAAATGATACTAATGGTGTGTTCTTCAGAGCTGTAAAGAAAATCATGCTGTTATATCAATGGTATCTGGAAAAATATTTGTCTTAAATTCAGCATTAGAAGACTTAGTGTATTATTAGATATCATCATCATCATCATCATTGTCAGCATCACCAACATCATTAATAAATGATACTTATTCATTTCTCTCATGATTGAGGGTCATTTGTAGAAGGACCTCGTGACGTTTTGACTGCAACCTGCTAGCGTTCATCAGGTGATACGAGACACAAACACACCATTCAGTCTATACCATCACCTGATGAACACCTTCTACAAATGAACCTCAATCATGAGACAATTGAATAAGTATCATTTATTACTATTTCCAAGTTTAATTACATTTTCCATTCCATCATCGTCACAACCATCATCACAAACATATTTTCATCACCATCATCACAGCTACCACTAAAACCAATAACATTATTGTTATTGTCATTATCACCATCTTTATCATCACCATCATCATCATCATCATATCATCATCATCACCATCATCACCACCATCATCACCATCAACATTGCCATCATCACCATCAACATTGCCATCATAAGATCAACATTTTCATGACCACACAACTAGCATCATTGTAATCATCACCATAACCATCATCATCAGCAGCAGCAGCATCATGATCATTATGATCATCATGGTAATCATCACCATCACTATCATTATCATCATCACCATCATCAACATCAGCATCATCATTAGCATCATCATTAGCATCATCATTAGCATCAGCATCATATCATTCACTGTAATCATCATCATCCCCATCTAATAAACATGTAATAATTAGATGTTATTATGTAACTATAATTATCCCTTACCTAATTCACATAAAGTAGCCAAACAAGCTCTTTTAAGCCTATCAGCTTCTTCTGTGTCGTCTGAACCTGTAGATACCAGGGTTGCTGCCAGTGACATAGGACAGGACCTTGGACATATCGCTACAACCTGTAAGGTAATAATAAATATACAATCATATTTTTATATATAAATATATGAAGTCCTAACTCAGACCAAGACAAAGTTTACTTTTTTTAGTATGACTACTTTCTCTCATAGTTATTAAATAGTATATATACATTTATAGCATACATTAGATACCTTGCGAATGAACCGGAGTGCTTGGACACGTTCTACTTCATAGGCTTGGTTATTGTCCATAGACCTTGAAAGATAAAAAACAGCTTAAGTATTACCATAATTTAATTAATCATATTTTATAAGGACAATACTAGCCATTGTAACTATAATAAAATGTCAACCAATTTGTGGTTCTCTTCTGAAGATACATGTAACTTTGGCTGTATCAAAGCTGTACGTCAAATTTTTTTAAAGAACCTTGACCTAGGATTTTTTTTAAGTTCAATAATCATGATGGATTCTGGTCTAGCTTTGGTTTGAAAACCACCATACTTGTATACTGTAAGGCATATAGTGTATAAACAATGTTTATACCCAAGGTACACTAGAATGCCCTATCTTGGCAATCTTAGAAAAGCTTATGTTAGTAGAGTTGGTACAAATATTTACTCAGAAAGCTTTCATAAAGAACTTGAGATGTCGAGGGCTATTTTAAAATATGCTTGCTTACCTTACGACAAACAGATCTATTCTGAGTTTCAACATGGTTAAGAATTTTGATTCATCAGTAAATAAATGACGCAGTGCCCTCAGACCAGCAGCCCTTACTTCTTTAGCACTCATTGTCAATGGTACTTTTAAGCTAGAATAATAAAAGAGAGATTTTCCAATGGTGCGCCAATAAAATATTGTATAACTTTTTTATCCCACTCTGTTCTGATTCATTGAAAATACACTTACTGCAGTGGGCTAGGAAGAGAACCATAGAATACTAAAGAATATATGACAACATTCCTGTTTACGATTGGCTGTATTTTTAATGTTTTGGGATATAGTACAAAATATATTATAGAGGCTTTGCAGCATCACGTGATTGGCAGCCATGACAGGAGGCAGGAACAATAGAATCTGGTCTGATCTGATTTACATGAGAAAGAACTCAATTTCCCAGGGGGAAAGGACTCTATTGTTATGCCTCCTGTCATGGCTGCCGTGATGGTGCAAAGCCTCTATAGAATGGTGAAAAAATAATTTGATGAAAAAGAAGAAACACACATTTTAATGTCCTTACCAAACGATAATGTCTTCGTAGGAAAATCCAAGATTGGCTTTTTCATCAACATGTTGAATCAGCTGCAAGTGATATTACAAATATATGAACAATGCTAACATTATATAGACCCCTTGCATGTGACATCAAAGAAGCTCAATTTTGGGGGACAATACAAAATGTGTGCTTGACAGACCAGCATGCCAAAGCATCCACGTGTTGTTGTAGTTACAGTCGAACCTCTATTAAGCGGTCACCCCTGGGGAAACATCAGGTGACCGCTTAATAGAGGTCAAGTTTACAGTATATACAGTTTGAAAATCGAATTTCGGGAAATTATTAAGTGACTGCTTAATAAAGGGTAACCACTAAATAGAGGGCCACTTAATAGAGGTTCGACTGTATGAGGGTATTGAAATAAAAATAAAATATCAACCTCATGAGAATTGGAAACTTATTATTACATCCTTTAAATTTATCTGCATTCTGACATGTATGCTGCAGTCCAGGTCTATTAGGCTCAGGTCAAACGTCAAACTTGACATGAGCCAAACCAAATTGAAACAATGGATAACAAGGCAGTCTTCTTTGATGTCAGCTCATGTGAAGTTCGACGTTTGACATTTGCCTTAGACACACAATGGAATACTGACTTTGGAGTCCCATTATATCAAATCCTGTCTATTACATGTAGCTCAGGTCAAACGTCAAACTTGACATGAGCCGAACCAAATTGAAACAATGGATAACAAGGCAGTCTTCTTTGATGTCAGCTCATGTGAAGTTTGACATTTGACATTTGCCTTAGACACACAATAGAGTACTGACTTTGGAGTCCCATTATATCAAATCCTGGATATATCTCAAACTACCCAGAATCTCTGAGGTCATACATGTACCCTGCAATGATCTCATTGCTGGGGTCTCTGGGTATGTAAATGGTGTCTGCCAACAGTCCAAGGAGAAAGCTTTATTTGTCAAGTGATTTTGCTTGTTCAAGAGATAGAGCAAAAGAATTACAAAGTTGGCACTAAGAGTGGAAAGACAGATGGCTATCCAAATGTTGTAGAACATCATGTTGAAGCTACATAATTATACAAAGAAAACCTTATTGCTGGTTTGCAATCATTCCCAAGAGAATGTAATAACAAAAGACACGGTGGCCATGTTGGATGATATGACAAAAGATACTAATGACAAATCTTTTGTTAAATTCGTCCAACATGGAGGCTGTGAAAACCATCAATTTAGCAAATGTAAATATTGATAGAAAGGAAACAAAACCATGCTGCACTTGAAGGTAAATGTAAATAAATTGAATATTTGGTTTGGTTTCACTTCCTTTTATTCCGTGTAAGGCAGCTGAGTAGCTTTTTAGGTGACCAACTTTATTGAATTCAACATTGGACCTAAGATACAAAGAAAGTCTAAATATCCACATAATTACCTTAGTAAAGTTATTGACACATCCCATTCTCTTGGTAGTGGACATATCTTCTTTACTCGTTATCTGTTGCAGTACTTCATGCATATTCTCGGCTGGGTCTGTCAAATGAAATTAAAATATCAAAACTATAAATAATGTAGGTTACGTATACTTTTGGTGAATGCTATGAATAGTAAAGTTAGATTTTTATTTGCTGCCACTGCCACCTGCTCCATCCCACCCCCATCCATTCTCCCTCCAATCCCCATCCATTCCCCCTCCCACCCTAATCCATTCCCCCTCCAACCCCTATCCATCCCCCCTCTTACCCCCACCCATTCAACCCTCCAACCCCCATCCATTC